ATTTTTATTTTACGATAGGGCAGTGGCGTTTCATTTTTTTCTCGAGAGCATCCATTAACGTGTTATTACGGACGCCACTGACAAAACAAAAAAAGGTTTTTGCAAAATGTGCTCACTCGTTGACAATTATTGCGTAAAAAATTTCGTTTAAATCTTCACAGCTGTTCAAACTGATATTTTTTTCGATTCTCAAAGGTTTACTAACGTTTTCGCTACTGCCCCAACCTGTATGCAATTAAAGTGGTTTGTTTTAACCAGTTCTGAACAGAGTGCCAAAACAGTTTTCATCTTAATTTTCTTAAAGTTTTTCTGCTTTAACCATCTTCCTAATCCTAATTTTATTGATTAGATTTCTGCTCTTTGGGTTTTTCCAATATATGAAAACTGAAAATTAAAACTGTTTTTATGGACAGTTATTTATTAACATCAATCATCATTTTTTCCAGCTCCTTTTTTGAAAATTCATGCACATCGTTTTACAGATTTTCATCACTTTATTCAATTAGCGACTGTTCTTTCAAGTAGTTTTTTCGGTTTTGCTTCTCAAGATTTGCCCTATAAGGTGTAGGAATCCAAATACGCCACCTTTCCCCTCGTAGCATATTTGCTAAATATTTACCTGGAGTATAAAGCAACATTATACAAAGACTTGAGAATATGAGTTTTCCGCCTCCAGGGGCATGTTCAGCGCCGTTTTAAGCGTTTTATGTCGCTACTTACGCCCGCTTAACTTTCACCTGATAACTTAGGAGTTTGTTTTCGAAATTGCCGCAAACGCCAGATAGCTTTGCCCGTTATTTTTCACTAGTTGGATATAATGCGGAAATTTCTTTTGCGTATAAGTCGACTTCCTCTACTTACATGTACTTACATGGACCGGAAGCTTGAAGTAGCAAAGGCAAGTCACCCTATAAGCCAATGTTTACAAACAATACAAATAGCAGGCTAATTGAAATCCATAAAACTCCAGGGGTGGTATCCCCGTGGGACTCTCCCGCTTTAATTATTTTTGTTTTAACCTGCGGGGGACGATTTTTGAAGTACTTTGGCGGCTAATCCGACGACCACAAAAGCCGAACAACCGAAACAAAAATGCCCTTCAAGTGATTTGATTTGGAATTTGAATCGACAGGCCATCGGGTTGTCGGTTAAAGGCAAAGCTTGTAAGTTTCTGCTGTTAAATTTTATGAAAACGTTTACGTGATGAAACAAAAATGCTCTTAGTAGGTACATTTGGGTTCCTCAGTATTAATTGCACAATTGCAAAATTAACTGAGTAGGAAGAGGATATAGAGAGGAAATTCTCATCACCTAATGCAGTTGTTGTCATGTCTCGATAGTTTCAATTAATCCAATTGGAAATAATATCAATTTGTCCATTGCGGATCAAGTGGCCGCCACGAATCCCGCCTTTCAAAGAACTCACGCGACCCTCCAATAAAAAAACCCATTATGTATAAACTTGTTGCTTAATTTAAGTGGTATCAGTCAGGCGATGGCCCAATCTTAATTCCGAACAAATTTCCTTCAGGAAAACACAGATAATTTGTTGATAAATTGATTTGTTAGTCCATGTAAGGTTTACCAAGGACAGTTTGACCGTGCTCCGCAAAAATGGCCAATAAGAAAAAAGTTTTCTTTGATATTTAGTTATTGGGCCATTTTAACGTATGTCATTCCCTGTTTGCTTTGTTTCTTGGGTGTTTAAGTGTGCTTTTCATTAGTATTCTACATTGACTTTGTTCCTCCACGGTATTTTTTGCCAATAAAGCTAAATTTTACCAATAAAGTTTATATATATTTTACTCAATATTATCGGGACCTTTTTTTTCAAACCTCAATTTTTCAAACAGGCAAGTTGTCAACAATTATGCCAGTYTGGCAATATCTGTGACTAGTTTTTCAATTATTCCGTTGGAAGCTTAAAATGTTTAGCAATRTCAAACATGCATACAGTTTACSTCGCTAAGACTAAATCGGCCGACTCTTTGATGTTGAATATTTTGTTGCGGCGTGTGCGGAAAAACACGCCGTAGCGGCAACGCTGCCAGCAAGATSACTAACGAAGTTTCGAGACAATCCTTGACTAGTTGTGAATAAGGTGTGTTSCATAATTGAAGCAGAATATTCGAGTGTTGCCAAACGGCTATAKAAAGCAAGCGCGACCCGCTGTAGTTAGTTAGGGAATGAATGAGCCATTCAGCAAATATTAAATAGGTTGTAATAATTTGGATTGTGTTTACAAACAGAGCGAGTCGCTGGAATCGAACCCCAATATATATTATAATAAWMRTAGCAATATACACAAAGTCCMCGATATGTTGCTACCAAAATTATATTCTCTGGAAAATTTTATGATCTACATCGAACCTTAAAATTTTTAGATAAACATTTGTAAGTCATACTAACGCTGAATTATGACAGAGCTCCAACATATGCAATTTTTCACTTTTTGAAATTTTTAACACCTAACTTCTCTTAAATAGTTTCTGCTTCAACAGTGTATATGTTTAAGCAAATAATATATTTGTATTTCCTTTTGTTAAAAAGTTGACAACTTTTTAAAACTGTTAACAGCGTAACAGTTTTAGCGAGAACCAAACGTCTACCCGAAATATCTGGCACATTTTCAAAAAATTACCAGAATGTACAGAATGGGTTTATTGTTCCATAAATCCGAAGCTAAGCGTCTAATAACTTCGTCTTCCTTTTTCTGAGAATTGCTCTGTTTCTGTTGAATGTTCTTTTGTTGTCAACTATTTAATAAGAAATTTTACGTTTCTTAAATCTTCTTTGCATTCAAAGGCCAAAATTAATTAAAATTAAAGGCCAGCACTATCTTCTGGAAGAACTTGCACATTAATGAATCCAACAAGGTGTGAATTATTTTAGTCGTAGTTACTAAGGACAAATATAAATCTGCCCTTTTAAGTGCTGACTCACGCCCGTCCTTAAAGACCATTAGCGTGGACA